GCACCCCTTGCGGGTGTGCGCCAGAGGAGACCAAGTGTGTGCTGGGGGCGGCGCGGATGTGTGTGTGAGCGTGTGAGCGCGTGGCTGACAAAGGCTTGGGGCTGCGGGGAGTGGAGGGAGGGGCGGGGCGGGTCCGCGGCGCCTGGGGACCCAGGATGCGGTTTGCAGCTGGCCCTGGCTAGAGGCCTGAAGACGCTTCCCCCTCTTCTCTGTCGCTTGGGGCCTGGGGTAGGGCGCAGGCCACTGGGGCAGGAGAGGGACTGCCTAGTCCTCTGTGAGCGTCTCCGGGAGCCAGCCTCCTCAGGGAGTGGGTCGGGGTCGATAGAACAACTGAGTTCTCACCCCGAATCTGCCCCTCTGTGCTTGGTGTGTGACCTTGGGCCGGTCTGAGCTGGTGTTTAGGTCTCTTCCCCCGTTTGTGAGGTGGTTGATCCTCAGACCCTCTGGGGATGAACGAGTGTTCTGGGAATTCTAGTCTGCTGGCTCCCCTCCCCCAGTTCTCAGGGATGTGAGCAGGGACTTTTCCCTAAACTGAGCTGCTCCTGGGTGGAAATAGTGCAGCCTTGAGAGAAAAGGACTTGGGCCAGACTTGCATGTGGGGGCTCTCTGCCATAGGAGACTAGTGACTGGATACCTGACATCCTGGCCAACTGGCCCCAGAACCTGCCTAACCATTTGTTTTGTTCAACGGAATAAATGTTGCTGACGACAAGTTGTCTTTAATAAACCACATGTTCTTTGAAAAAAAAAAAAAAAAAAACAGAGAGGGAGAAATTTTGGACAGACTCTACAGAGAACTTTGTGCCCATGACAAGAGGCGAATCCTGGCCTAAACCATAAAACATGCCACCTGGATCCCCTTTCCCAGGACTCAGTCTCCCTGTCTGTTGAATGGGGTTTTGTGTCAAGTGGAAGGGAGAACTCTGCTGGGAGAGCAGAGACTTCTGCCTTCCCCGACTCCCACTTTCCAAATCTTCTATCTCTCTGTTCCTCTCTGTGGGGAGTTGAAAGGGGGTACCCCTGGCACCAGTTTCTGGGGCAAGCTGTCCCCAGGGGACTGTTACTTTGGTCTGGTGAGCTGGAGTACTCAGCACCATCCCAGCACACCAGCCCATCTCATGCATGTGCCATCCTGCCTGGGACCTGGGCGCTTAGGTGCCACCCTAAAGTGGGGAGAAGTCAGAGAACACGGGCGGGAGGGGTTGGACCTGTGGTTAGTGCAACATCACCTTCTGTCCACAGATGAGCAAGCCAAGGCCTTTGTCCACAAGGGCTCAGAGAGGGCACAACAAAGCTGGTGTTGCATCTAAATCCATCTTCCTGGTTCCCACTCTCTCAGCTGGGCAATGAATGGCCTGCTTCTGGCTCTGTCACACCAACTTGTCTTTTCAGGCCCCAGACCACCACCCCAACCTGACCCACACTCTGACATTCTTAGGGAAACCGACTCTGCTTAGTGGCTGAGGTGGGAGGGTGGGATCAAGGAGGGCTGGTACTTATCTGCCCCCACCCCCACGGGGGTCCCAGAGTCAGAATGGGAGAATAAGATAGGAAATTTTTGGTGAATTGGTAACAGGGGGTGGAGCAGTAGGGAGGACGGTCCGGAAAGCTCTGTGCAAACACTGCCTGAGCTGTGCATCCCCTTCTGTCCCGCCAGGGCTGGGAGCTCCTGCTCCACCCTGCCCCCAGCACACAGCGCACACAGATTTCCTCTCCGGATAAGCCTGGCTCCCTCCCTCTCTCTTTACTGTCGATTCTCCTACCACCACCCCCTTGTTGCCAAGTTCAGTTTTCAGGAAGATTTACTGTCTCTATGGCAACTACTATGGCTTCATGTGTCTTAGGAGGCGGGGGGCGGTTTGGGGGGATTGCAGGGGAATGGTCATCTCAGGCTTCAGTCCACCTGTTGCTGACTGTCCAGCTGGGACAGATGAGGCGATGCTGACAGTCCATGGCCCAGTCATCTTGGATATTTGCACCCACCTGATCCCTGAGAACCTCACCATCTGGCCCTGGCTCCCCCATCAAAAAAAAAAAAAAAATGGGGAGAGTTCCCACTCTCTTCCTTTCAGTTCGTCCTGTGCATTTCTGTTTTCATGGTATAGACCAGCTTGGTCCAAAAGAGATATAAGGCAAACCACGAATATAATTTAACATGTTCTAGGAGCCATATTTATAAAAGTAAAAAGAATAGGTGAAATGAATGAACAACATTTTATTCCACTTACTCTATCCAACATCATCAACATAGAAGCCCTTGATGGGTTAGTTTGCCTACTTTTCATACTTAGTTTCAAAACTCAGTGTATTTTGCATTTACAGCACATGTCAATTTAGACTAGCTGTATTTCAGCTACCCAGTAGTCATAGTAGCTAGGGGCCACCACAATGGATAATGAAGGTCTAGAGTCTTTGATGCCAGAGTTCATGTCCAGGCTTTTCAAATTCCCAGCTGTGTGACCTTGAGGATGTCGCCTGGGCCTTCCGGGTGATCACTTCCTCTCCTCTACCTCCCAGGGTTGTGGTGTAACTGAGAATGTCTCTTATGCTGGTGACAAGGCCAGACTCCTAGGAGATCTTCACTTTTCCCTGCTTTTCCATGGCTCTGCCCAAGCTGTGCCCTTGTCATTGTGCCTTCCTTTTAGGAAGGCTTTCTCACAGTTCCTTTTAGGATTCCTGGGCAAATCCCCCCCTTCTTCACCAGGGCTGTTCTCCATCCTGGGAACTCCGGTAGGTTCTGCCTCCATCCTAGCATTCCCAGCGCCACCGCCACCGGGTGATCCAGCTAATTACGGCTTCTCCTCCTCCTCCTCCCCATGAGAACCCCCTGAGGGCAGCAGGCCTCAGAAGCAGGTGAGAAGGGCCAGGTTCCCACTCTGGCTTTTCTTACTGAGCATCGCTTCAGCTGGATGGAACTGAAGTAGCCCAGAAGCCACCTCTTAACCCTGCCCTCCACCTCCCTGGGTGGATGGGGACGAGGATGCTGGGAGACAGCTGGCATTTATTCAAGGTCACATGGTAGGGCGGAGTAGGATCAGAACCCTCCAGTGTGGTCTTCTCTTCAGGGCAGGACAGAGCATGCCCCCCAGCTTCTGACCTGGAAAACTGGAGACTCCGCTGGCCAGGGTGGAAGCCCTCTGGGCAGATGAATTTCAGCTCAGTTTAACAGCAGCAGTTTGAGCTTCCCTAGGGCACAGGGTTCTCGGCTCCCACTCCCGCGGCCCCTGCCAGCCTGGCAGCCACTCACTGTCCATTCTGAGCCCACTTGTGGCTGCCAGGTCAGGAGAAGGGGTGGAGCCTCTCACTTGAGGGTCCTGAGCCTCACCTTACCAGCGCAGCACCATGGTGCATGAGAAGCCTGTGCCCCCGGGCTTCCATTCTTCCATCTGTAGAAGAGAAGCAAGGCTGAGGGTGTAGGAGGCAGCATTCTTTTCCTGGAATGAGGCCCACCAAGAAGGAGTTGTCATGGCTCTGTTCATGGTTGTTGCATGACTATTTGAGAGCTGAGATTCTCCCCTAACTTCTCTGAGGGCACCTATTCCCTTCCTGAGACCCAGTTTCCTTCCCTTTGATCCAGCCCCTTGGCAGCCTAGGCACTTGAAATCGGGTGGAGCAGGGGCTGGTGAGGAGGAGAGGCAGAGCCCTGCCCTGGGGGAGTCTTTTCTGCCAAAGAAGCTGAGACCGGTATCCATGGCAACCGCTGGCTAACACAAACCCAGAAGGAGAGAGGAGTACAGGGACCCAGCCTGGAATGCATGCCTGGCAGGGACTGGGGGCTTCCCCCAAACACCTGAGCTGGGTGCGGGAAGGGCCGCCAAGCATGGGCTCTTGTCTCTTTTTCTTTTTTGTTGTTGGCTTGGTTGAGTCTGTCCAGAGCTAACACTTGGGGGACGGAGGCTCCAGGCCTTTTGCAGTGTCACCTGAGTGTGTAGACGCCAGGTCAGTCCCCATGCTCGGTGCTGTCTCTAAGGGTGAGGACTATCAACGCCGCTCCCGCCCTGCCCCCTCACGTGGCTTTGTTTGACCCCTTGAGTGGCCCTGCCTTGGTCACCACCACGTCAGCACTATGTAAGGTCTGCAGGGCGGGGTGCAGGGCCACATTCCAGAATGCCCGTCTGGCAGGTCAGTGTCCAGGTGCACCTCTGGGCCGGCCTGGAATGCCAGCACCCCAGTGACTAACCACTAGCAGCCCACTTTCAAGCTCCTTTTTCCTCCTTAGGCCCCTTCTGGTTGGATCTGTTGGCACCTCCTCTGTGCCATAGACCTGTCAGAGAAGTGCCTTGAAACTCACTACCTTGGTTTGGGACTCAGGGCCAGTGACCGGCCCAGCCTGTGCCTTTGTTTCCCCTTTGTGAATGGGGCAGGAAGGCTGCAGGGTATAGCCTGGTCCGAGAGGGAGGTGGCGGGGTAGAGCTGCTCAGAGAGGAGTTTCGTGTCCCTTCCCTGACAGGAAGTGGCTTTTGTTTCTGCCTGGGTGTGAAGTGAAGTTGCTCAGTCGTGTCCAACTCTTTGCGATCCTGTGGACTGTAGTCTACCAGGCTCCTCCATCCATGGAATTTTCCAGGCAAGAGTAGTGGAGTGGGTTGCCATCTCCTTCTCCAGGGGATCTTCCTGACCCAGGGCTTGAACACAAGTCTCCTGCACTGCAGGCAGACTCTTTACCGCCTGAGCCACCAGGGAGACCCTGGGGGTGGGGGCCTGATATCCTGAGGGCAGATGGGAGATGAGTGTACAGGAGGCAAAGAAGACACTGTCTTGACCCCCAGGCCCATGGGGCTGGGTTCCGCATGGGCCCTGACGATCTCCGGGGCTGCTCCTGGCCTTGTCAGGATTTCTGTGTGACCTGAGGCAGATCCTGACCCTCTCTGAGCCCTGAATCCACAATAGAAGATTTTGTTCCTCTTTTTCTGTGGTCAGGGTCTTGCTCCCAAGGGTAGTATGGGGTGTGTGACTTGGTCTCAGGGACTCTCGCCTGCTGGACTTCGGCTCTGCCTACATCTCCCTTTCCCAAGATAGCCAGGTCTGTTTCCCTGTGGCTGCAGTGGCCAAACTTAGTTTTTGGTGATGGGCCTCAGTAGTACCTCTGCCCTCCTTCCTAGAAGTTTTCCCTATGTCCCCTCCACTCTGTCCCACATCCATCATGGCACCTACCCCTGTTATAGGCCGGCTGTCTCCCTCCAGCCTCAAGGGTTGCTGAGTCTGGTCACCTCTGTGACCCCAGTGCATGTGAGGGATGGGCACAGGCTCGGCTCCTGTTGGCCGACTATGTGACAAAATTGAGTTGCCCCATCCTGGCCTGACCCCAAAGCCCCTCCTTCTGGGCTGATGACCCTGGACCAAGATAGGCCCCTGTGGTCGAGGCTGGGGCTTCTCTTGTGGTGCCTGGCACTGCCCTTTTGTCCTGACCAGGGCTCACAATGAGCTACAAGCCTCGTGTCTCCAGGAAGGAAGTGGGGGCAGTGGTCAGTGTGGTCCCTGTCTGCCCCGCCCGCAGACCTGACAATGGGGCTCCCTGGCCCCATGCTGGGCAGAATGGCTCCTGTACATGCAGGAGGGCACTGGGGGGTTCTGCCTGGTCTCTTCTGCAGGTGAGTCTCTACTGGAGGTGAAGGGCTGGTCCCAGGTCACACTGCCGGGGAGGAGGGGGGGTGAAGCAGGACGCCGGTCCTCTCTGGTCCTGGCCCTCTCTTGGTGGTTGGGGGGTTGGTGGAAGGATCCCTAGGTAAAGATGTGGCTGAGGGCAGAAGCCTTTCTTTTAGAGCGAGAAAGAAGCAAGAATGATGCACTAGCCAGAGTTTGGAGGTTCGGGGTGCAGGCCCTGTCTCCTGCCTTGCCCTCAGTTCTCTGCCTCCATGGTGACATTGCTGGGGTCTTCTCCTCTCCCCCACCCCTCCGTCGTGGGGTCTTCATGATCCCCTCCCTGTCCAGCATGGTCTTGCCAAATGGGATCTCTGACCGCAAGGAGCACGACTTATGCTTTGTAAACTGTAAAGGGCTGTGCCTGGGGTGGGGTGTTCTTACTTAGTCACACACTGTTTGGAGCACCCAGGGGAGAGTGGCTGGTGTGGATTTTGAGAGGGAGCTGGCTGCAGCCTCTTTTCTGGTGTTTTTTGGGGTGAAATGGGGAGCACAGGCCAGATCGGGGAGCTTGGAGGCCAGCTCAGCCTACCTCCTGCCTGGTCTTCTGTGGTCTGTTTCCTTCATCTTCTGAATCTCAATTTTCCATTTGAGAAGTGGGAGCGGGAGTTGCCGGTCACCTTAGCCCACTGGCACAGCATACAGGGAGACTGCTGAGGGTTCGTGGGCTTGAGCCATGCTGTTCCGAGGTCTCTTATCTCTCCCCACCCTCCCTCCCTCCATACCTTCTTGGCCTTATCCTGGGTCTGTGTCCACACAGGCCACACCCTCCATGGGTTACGATAAGGGTGTGACCACCTTGTCCCCGGCCCCTGGTGGTCTTGGGAGTCCTTGAGCCAGAAGAGGGCCAGGGAGGCTGAGATGGGAAAGGAGTGGCCCTGCAAAGCCCCCAAATTGCTAAGGCTGAGTCCGGTTCCAGGAAAGCTGGCCCCAAATGATAGACCAGAACCACAGGCCAGAGGCCCGGCTGCCTGTCTCCGCCCACTCTGGGCAGAGAGGCTTGGTGGGGAGTAGGGGATGGGGTGGGGTGTTGGGGGAGGGCTCTCTGCTCTCCTCAGGCTGGCGGGGTCTGCAGGCAGGGCTCTGGGTAGGGAGGGGTGCTGTGGGTGCTCTTTAAGGGGCCAAGTTTGGAGTCTAGGTCTTCTAGGGAGGGGCTGAGACTGTGGGGCTGGGGCCCCATCCTCATGGTCCCTGCAGAGATGACCACTAGGCTGTCCTGACATTGATGATCCAGATTTGTAGGCAGACGTAGTGGGTAGGAGAGAAGGTGTATATAGAACAAACTCGATTTAAGATTTAGGATGGACACAGCAGGGATGTCTAGGGATTCTGGGTCACTCTCAGATGGGTAACCTGGGCCCCAGAATAGAGGCCAGAATAGAGGTCACTCAGTTTGTCCCTGGGGGATCGGGGGAGGGCCTTGCCCTGTGGACACTCTGGGGCAGGTAGAAGGGAGCGCGCTTGACAGCCTGGGTCCCTGGCTGAGGAGCTGCTTGGTCAGTCCCTCTAGGCTCAGGAAGGAGGGGGTGGGTGCTGGTGGGGCCAGGCTGTGGTTTCTTAGCCTGAGCCATCCAGAGCCAGGTCAGCAGAGCCAGGCCCTCAGGCCCCTATAATTACTGGGGCGGGAGCTATGGCCCAGTATGGTAGCAGGGGTGAGACTTCCAGACTGAGCCAGCTGTGAGGCCTCCAAAGGGGACCAGGGTCCCTCTGAGAGGGACTGGCCAATGGCAAGCAGCACCCGCCATCTGCCCCCATTTTGGAGAAAAGAACACTGAGGTGGGGGTTCCCATTCTCCGGAAACTGATCACAGGGCGGGGCTCTTGTGCCCCATGAGTTAATGATCTATGATCAGGTTGATAAGGTCTATAACATTTATTGACTACCTACTATGTGCCAGGCACCATTCCAAGCATTTTACAGGATTAACCCATTTAAACTTCACAACAACTATATAAAGCAGATGTTAAAATGTATTCTTGTTATGGTATATAGATATACATATATAGATACATACATATACATATATATATGTATATATGAATATTACTCAGCCATAGAAAAGAACAAAACAATACCATTTGCAGCGACATGGATGGGCCTAAAAATTGTTATGCTGAGTGAAGTGCATCAGACAGAGAAAGACAACTATCATATGATATCACTTATGTGTGGAATCTAAAAAAAATGGTACAAATGAACTTATTTACAAAACAGAAATAGAGTTACAGATATAGAAAACAAACTTATGATTGGTTATGAAGGGGGAAAGGCAAGGGGAGGGATAAATTTGGAGATTGGGATTGACATGTACACTCTAGTATATATAAAATAGGTAACTAAAAAGAACCTACTGTATGGCACAGAGAAGTCCAGTCAATACTCCATAATGACCTATATGGGAAAATAATCTAAAAATGAGTGGATATATATATATGTGTGTGTATATATATATATATAAAACCGATTCACTTTGGTATCACCTAAAACTAACACAATATTGTAAATCAAGTATACTGTAATAAAAATTAATTTTAAAAATTAATCCTTGTTACAGAGGAGGAAACTGGCACAGAGAGATTAAATAACTTGCCTGAGATCACATAGCAGGGAAGGTGGGGAAGTCAGGATTTGAACCCAGAGCCCATGCTCCTAGGAATTCAGCTATGCTGCCTGCCACTCTGAGAGAGGCAAGGTGGACTGCACTGGATGAGGAAGCAGAAAAAGACCTCAGGATCGTGTCCCAACCTTGCATCTGAGGCTGGTCTGAACTGGGGGCTCCCGATGTCAGTGTGGATTTCCTCTTACACCATGGCCTTTTTGAGGACTCAGTGATGTCAGCAGGTTGGGTTCTGGACCTGGCTCCTCTGGGGGCAATTGAGGGGCCAGCAGTGATGGGGAGTCACTGTGAATATCTGTGACCAGCCAGATGGGCGAGTCAGGCAAGACTTCATCCAGCTCTGGGGGTACCTCAAGGTTACAGGCATCTCTTCAACAAGAGCCCCGAAGGAAGGAGCTGGGGGGTGGAAGAACCTTGGTAGACATGAACTTGGATCTGGGCCCTGGATGAGGTGGAGATTAACAGGTGGAGACGAACAGCCCAGGAAGAGGGCACGGCTGTGTCAAGGCTGTGGAGGCCTGTGGACCGTGATGTGCAAGCCACAGGGGTTCAGACCACCCAGGCCAGTGGTTTCCAGTTACCTGGACAGTGTGTTAATAGATTCCTGGCTCTCGCTTCTAGACAGGGTGATTGTGCAGATCTGGAGTGTGGAGGCCTCAAATGCGAGAAGTCTGGGCTGAATTTGGGTGGTAATGCAAAGCCACTAAACCCTAGTGGGGCAGCCACGCTCAATGAGCTAATAATTTGGTTCCACTCTCAGAACAGTGTCTGGCATGTAGTGAGCCCTCAGGACATGTTACCACCCATATTACTGTTGTCATTAGCAGTTGTATTATGAACAAGGGTCCTGGGCCGTGTATTTTTAAGAACTCCTAGGTCTCCAGGAGATAGTGAAGGACAGGGAAGCCTGGTGTGCTGCAGTCCATGGGGTCGTGAGGAGTTGGACACGACTGAGCAACCAAACAACAACAACTTAAATGACTCTGAGCCCTGGCCAGAGCTGACAACCACTGGGCCACAGCCTTAGCTCCTTGAGTCCAGAGACTGTGATCTCTGAAGCCCCAGCCCAGCTTAATAGGAAGCTGATAAGTGCTTGTGTGATCAGGCTGCCTGAGGGGTGCTGGGTGGATGGGAAGGCTGGAGGCAGGGAGTCCAGGGAGGAGACTGGTTGAAGAAGAGAGAGAATCCTTGGGACCCATTCATGGGAGGTGAGAGGGGTGTCATGGCCGACTCCCAGGTGTCTGGCCTGGGGAGTGGAGCAGGTGGTGGAGTCATGGAATCAGGGTCCAGGTGACTGTGATGCTGAGGGATGAGAAAGCCTGTGGGACTGAGCCTCCAGGAGGCGGTTGGCTTCAATGGAGGATGGAGATGAGGACATTGAGTTGGGAGGGACGAAAATTCTTTAAAGAACTTTAGCTATGAAAATTACCTGGCAGCCTAGGGGTTAGGACTCAGCGCTTTCACTGATGTGGCCTGTGTTCAATCCCTGGTTGGGCAGCTAAAAAAAGAAAAAAGAACTTCATCTGTGAAGTGTTAGTCGCTCTGTTGTGTCCAACTTTTTGCGACCCCATGGACTGTAGCCCGCCAGACACCTCTGTCCATAGAATTCTGCAGGCAAGAATACTGGAGTGGATGTTCCTTTCTCCAGGGGATCTTCCCCACCCAGGGATCGAACCCGGGTCTTCTGCATTGCAGGCAGATAGATTGTTTATCATCTGAGGCACCCTGGGAAGTGGGGAGAGGAAAAGACTGGCTGGTAGGGGGGATGAGTCAGGACTGCTTTTACCACCAGGATCAGCGAGGGGTGAGAGCGTTTGTAGACTCTGTGCAGAAGGCAGGAGCGAGGGAGGTGCTGACAGAAAAAGGCAAGCCAGCGGCTAACCCAGGGCCAGCTCCCCGGGAGGCAGGAGGTGCAGTTGGCCTTGGACAAGAGGCGAGTCCCTCGGAGGCTTGAGAGGGCTGTAATTAGGGTCAATGGGTAAGAAAATTCAGGTGTTCCTGCTTTTCCAGAATGTTTTTTCTTGGCTCAGGGATGAGGACCCTGTGGACAGAGGATGATCATGGCTGTGGATTTGGGGTGACTGCCTGGAGAAGCCCGTATTGGGAGCTATGGCCATGGGTGGGGGCAGCTGCGTGTGGGGTGGAAGCCCCAACTTGCTCACCCTGGGCTGGTGGAATGGGCTGGGTCTGAGCTGTAGGAGGCTGCTCCTGGGCGTGAGGCCCGTCCTGTGACCCACTAAACCTCAGCCTCCAGGAAAGAGGCTAAAAATAAGGTTGTGGTGAAGAAGAGAGGGGGGTTGTGTGGGTCCAAGCCAGCCTGGAGCCCAGAGGAAAATCTGAGACGACCGTCCGGGCTGCTGTGACACACGCTTCCTGTGCCAGCGGCCAGTGGGATCTCACCCGCCTGTGGCAGTGGCCCTTTGCAGGCCTGGAAGAGGGAAAACAACCCAGAAAGACTTAGGCAGGGCCTGACCTAGAGTCTTAAAGCCCACCCAAGGCCCTGTTCCCTGGCAGGGTTTCTCTGACTTTCTGCCTGGAACTCAGGCCTTGGATCCAAGGCTAGATTGCAGGGGGCTGCTGGGACAGGGGCATTCAAACTTCCTGTGCCTTGGGGTCTAGACTGCTCAGGAGTTCCCGGGGGCCCTGGATGCCCATCTGGATGTGGTGAAATATTCCTCCCCCTTATGAAGCACTCTGTGCAGTGGAGGAAGTCAAGGAAGTCTTCCTGGAAGTGGAGGCAAATGCTGGACCTTAAAGTCATGGGTGGGGGAGTGCATCCAGTCAGATGGCTGTGATGTGCCTTGGGGAGGAAGCAAGAGTGTTTTGTTTCTTAAAATAATGTTATTTATTTAGGGCTGTGCTAGGTCTTCATTGTTGCGTGAGGGCTTTTTCTAGCTGCCATGAGTGGGGCCTGCTCTCTCGTTGTAGTGCACAGATGTCTCATTGCAGCGGCTTCTCTTGCTGCAGAGCATGGGCTCTCAGTTACAAGGACTTCAGTACTTGTGGCATATGGGCTCAATAGATGTGGTGCACAGGCTTAGTTGCCCTGAGGTGTGTGGACTTTTCCCAGACCAGGGATCGAACCCATGTCCCCTGCATTGGCAGGCAGACTCCTAACCACTGGACCACCAGGGAAGTCCAAGAGTGTTTAGATTTGCTATGGACACATGCCACCTTCATTGTGACCAGTTTGATATGGCCTCCCTCCCAGAAAGTGGGCCTGGGGTTACTGCAGAACCACGCCCTCCTCTGGGCTGTGGGTGGGGACCCAGTACAGGACCCTGAGGGAGTGGTACCCTCCTCCAATCTCTTTTAAAAAATTTTTTAATTGGAAGAAAATTGCTTTTCAATGTTGTGTTGGTTTCTGCTGTACGTCAGTCATATATATCCCCTTCCTCTTCTCCTACCGTCTCTTGACTCTACCCATCCTTCTGTTTGCCCAGTGCCTAAATTGTGACAGTCTCTGTCCTGGGTTCTAGAGATGACTTGCTACGGTCCCAGCTCTCAACGGGCTCATGGTCCAGTTCCGGGGCGAGGCGGGGCACGAGGAGGCAGGCACCTGTCCATCTGTCTGAGCTTCCCCCTCACAAACAGTCCCTGGGGGTTGGCTGTGTGCCTGGCCCTGGGCTGGGGAGGCGGGGTGGGCAAAAGCGAACCATGTAGAAGCTATGGGATAAAAGAATGAGCTTGAGTTTTTAGTAATAGACCTGGTTTCAGATCTTGCCCCTGACATCTTATGTGCTCTCTGACAATCTATGTAATTTCCTGGAGCCTCGGTTTCCTCATATGTAAAATGGGGATGATAACCCTAGATCAGCATGGGTAGGAGGGCTAGAAATACCCCTTATAGAGTTGCACACAGTACCTGGAACTCAGCAGGAACCAGCAACTAGCAGCTTTTTGCTCCTGGCCACAGGGGGTCTAAGGAGCTCATATCCTTGTCCCCGTGTCTTCTCTGTAGAACAAATTGATCCTAGTGTGACAAGCGCTAAAACAAGGATGGACAGGGGATAGTGGGGGCAACGAGCTCTCCCCCTTGTGGGAGGGGGAGAAATCAAGAAAGACTTCCCAGAAGAGGAGGCATCTAAACTAGTTTTGAAGGAATGGCAAGAAGTAATTCAGTCAACAAAATTGCACCAGGGTAAGAAGAGGCAGCAGGTATAGTTAAAGGGGCATAGGTAGATTGGGGTGGCTAGAGCATGGAGGTAGGGGTTGATGCCCTGAGAAGTAAGGCTGGAGGGTGATGTTGGCAGGGCTGAAGCTACAGCCCCATGGCCTGATGAAGGCAGGGGAGGCACCAGTGATGGTGATTATGTGAGAGAGGGCTGTGATCAGATAAAAAAGCTACAGGCCCTGGCTCAGGACTGGGAATGGGCTGTGAGGTGGGAGGTGAGTGTGGGTGGCACCCCAAATTCAGCCACGCCACCCAGAGCCCCTGATGGAACTTGAGGCCTCTGAGTCTGAGTTGGGGGCACCTTGGAGGTCCCACCTGATGGCTCTGCCATCCACAGACCCAGGATTGGCCCCTGGTTTCCGCCTTGGAGGTAAAGTCGCAGCCCGCCCCGGTTATTAAGTCGTTAGCTGGGTCTCACGCAGCCTCTTCATTATGGGTAATTATGGTGAATCCTCTCTGGGTATTAACAAGGAGGAGACCAGCTGCTCTTGACTGTCAGGCTGCTAGGACAGGAAATCCCTGGGCATCCCAGCCCTGGGTCTCAGGTAGGGGAACAGTGGCAATCTTCTGCAGCACCGGTCATCGGACAGGACGTTTGTACTGTGTTTGGAGATTCCACTTTCAAGCACTTCCCTGTGACTTTGAACTTGTGGCTTAACCTTCTGTGCCTCTGTTTCCTCATCTATCCTGTAGGATGATAGTACCAGCCACCCAGGGTTGTGTGAGGGCTAAACTGATAAAGCACTTAATGCGCAGTGATATGAAACACTGGAGAAGGAAATGGAAACCCACTCCAGTATTCTTGCCTGGAGAATCCTACGGACAGAGGAGCCTGTAGGTGGGCTACAGTCTATGGGGTCGCAAAGTGTTGGACACAACTGAGCGACTAAACAACAGCAAAACAACAATATGAACCACCGTCATTTTAGATGCTGGCACCAGCATCATCATGTTGAATTGTTCTGGGAGTTCCCGGAAGGCCGGGTCTGGTCCCTTCCTCTGTCCGCTGCGTGGGGAGCTCCTGAGAGAGGCCCTGTCTCCTTTCTCCCCTCTTCCTTCTCAGTGCAGGTGTGCAGTGGTCAGGGGGGCTCTGGCCTGTGGTCCAGCCTCCTGTTATCCTGAGATAACCTGAGGCAGAGGCCCTGGGGCCTGTGGGGGCAGAGGGTTGTGCTTACCCGGGAGCCCTGGTGGAGGGCTATGTGAGGTCAGGGGGGGCCAGGACGTTGCTGGCCTCCATACAGCCAAGGCCCTGTCTATCCACAGCTGCTGATGGTTTCTAACTGTCCTAGTTACCAACCCTGTTGACGCTCCCTATTGGGAGTGCAGAGGTGGCTGGAAGTTGGGAGAAGGGCAGACATGGCCTCAAGGGCTCCCATTCCCCCCAAGGAAGCAGGCCTGGAGCCCTACCTGCTTCCCTCTGCATCTTGGCTCCTCATTGGAAAATTGGGGGTCCTGTTATACTCCTGAGGACAGCTGGGGGGACGTGTTTGTGCACATGTACAGGTGAGCAGGTATAATTGCCTGTGTGCCCTCACCACCCTCTCCTTGGCCAGAGGGATTTCCCTGCAGCTTTCAGAGGCTGCCCATCCATTCTCCCCTGAGGGCAGGGTCCACCTCTGGGGTTCCAGCACCTAGTCTGGGGCTAGGCTGCAGGTGGGCAAGAGACCCAGGCTGGCAGTAGGAGGCTTGGCTGCCCTAGGTGGGCTGAGTGATCATGGAGGAGTCTTGCTTCTCTGCTCCTTGGACCCCACACTGGCTGAGTGGGGGTTAAACACCACAGGATGGACGCTTGGCTTCCACGGTCCCCGGTGGCCTGGCTAAACTGGGCAGGGTGGAGTTTTCTATATGGGGCCAGGCTGGGCCCTGAGGGGTGGAAAGAGGACTGGGCGGAGGCTGAAGGTCACCTGGGTGGGGGAGAGGGATGTGGGTGCCCAGGGATCAGACGTCTCCAATAATCACCTCTGTCTTCTCCTCCCAGGCGTTCTTCTGGATATTCAGCAACACTTTGGGGTCAAGGACCGCGGCGCCGGCTTGCTGCAGTCAGGTGAGGCCCATCTCCCATCCTGGTCCCCCCACCTGGCTTTCTACCCAGTGGGGATTCCCTGCCCATCTCTTCCGTGGCCCTGACTTGCTGAAAAGAACGTGAGCTTCGTGCCCAAATCCCACCTTGTCACTCACATAAGGCACCAGTTCTCCCAGTCTCTGCTTCTATTCTTGTAAAACAAATAGCACCTGCCCTCGGGGCTGTGGGTAATACACAAGAACGCAGGCACCTGGGAATCACCTCTCAGATGCCAAAGCAGGAAATTCTAGCTGGTCAGCCTCAGAGCTGTTCGCAGACCCAGGGCAGGAGCCTGAGAAACCTGGGTCCCAGACTAGACCTGGGTCTGAGGTTCTTGGCCCCTCTTGCCTGGGATCCTGGCCTTGGGACTGTCGGGGAGGCAGGGCCCAAGCCCCCTGGGCCAGGGCAGCCCGGCAGGTGATTATGCAGTTGTTCCAGCCTCTCTGCCCCTCTCTCCAGGGTCCATATCAACCTTGTGCCTGCCCAGCCTGCTAAGCGGCCCTGTTGGACCTGAGCTCCTTGCCCTCCCACAGGCTGTGGCCCTGCTGGCCGTGCCTTCAGCAGGACCCCCCAGGCCGGGGCAGAGACTTGGAGCAGTGTTACATCCTAGGACTGGTCCTGACCCGGCCCTGGCCTTGCTGTGTGGCCGGTTCCCTTGGTGCTGGTTTCCTCTGGCTGTGAGGCCCAGTTAGATGTGGGGGAGAAGGTCTGTGGTCTGCATTCCAGTCTGGGAACCCCGTCCCCTCCCGGCCTCTCCGGGGAGGCAGGGGCGGAGCGAGCCGGCTCTGTCCAGGAACCTGCCTGACCTGTCTGGGTGGCATTCCAGCATGGCCAGTGCCAGGCCTCCTTGAGCCACAGCCACACAACCCGGCTCCGTTTCTCACTTCCCAGGTAGGATCTTCTGGGCTTAGAGAGGAGGCAGATGAATAGCTCCAGGGTTCAGCCCTAATAGGTGAGAATGGACGGAGCTGAGACTGGAGCAAGGCGGTGGGGCCCAGCTCCTCCTAAGGGTGTCCAGGTAACCGCCCCCCGCTGCAGACATCACCTCCCAAGCGCCTCTCTGGGCTCCTTGCCCCCTCCCTGCCCTTGCTTGGTCTCCTTTGGCTGGGTCAGAGCAAGTCATCCAGCCGTGGGGCCTGGGACAGGTTCCTCCAGCCTCCTGGGCTCTGGGCAATGCACTGATCAGTGCTTACAGCCTGGGAGATGGGAGAGACCGAGGTCAAGCCCAGTGGGAGTGTGGGAGGGAGCAGGCTGCCAAGCTGGTGAAGGAAGGGCAGGAGGGAACCTGGTCAACATCCTCCTCCTTCCATAGCCCCTGAGTCACTGGGGACCCAGCCCAAGCTCATCCCCTTCCAGGTTGCTGACTGATCTTCCCCTCTTCCCGTCTCCTCCTTTCAGCCCCCACTGATGGAGGTCAGGGCCAGTGCATCCACGCAGGGGCAGGGTGGGAGGGCTGCAAGGGTCAGGGCCCTGCCACAGTTATGTCCCGGGCTGTGCCTTTCTTGGTTAAGAAGTCATGGCAGCCCCTACTTATCCCTGGCCACCTGGTTGGAGGTGGACAGACCATCCACAGCATCATCTTCTTTGGTTTGTCCTCCTCCAAGCTCCCTTTGGTCAGCTTCACTTTCAGGATGGAAACATAGAGGTCAAGAGAGGGAAAGCAACTTGCTTAAGGTCTCGTGGTGAGAGAGTAGAAGGCCTGTCATTGGGACTTCTGCGTATGGGGTTCTCTTGGCTTGGGAGGGGACACAGACGCTCACTGGATTCGTGAGGCTTGTCTCAGGCATCTGAGTGTCTGGCATCTCAACATTCTTGGGGTGAGTGCCTCTGGGCCATGGTGAGCATTTCCAGCACTCTCCAAGACCCTCTAGTCTTTGCCCTGTGGTCCTCATCCTACCACCCACCCTGGGCACCTGCTGGGAGGGCTCCCCAGAGTGTCCTTGCCCTTCTGGCCAACTGAGTCAAGAAGCCAGGTGGGCTGGACCAGGACGTGACTCAGTGGGCTACCAGGCAAGTCATCTAATTGGCCTGGGCCCCAGGCACCTGTCTCTTCTCCAAGCACTGATAAGGTCGGAGCCAGGTGGAGGGCGCCAGCCAGGTGTTTGTGCTTGCCCAGATCAAAGGGCCAGGGTTGAGGGCTGGGTTGCCTGCTTATTTGTGGGCACCAGGGGCTGCTGGGCCAGGAGACAGGGTTGCGGGGCAAGGGCAGAGAGTTCGGCCTGGGCCTGCCCGTGCTGTTTCCCCTGGGGACCAGAGCATGAAGGCTGGTTTGGGAAGAGCCTACTTTTGGCAGCCCCCTCGTGTATTGCTGCCAGCTCTGAGCCAGCCCCTCGGCGGCAGCAGCCGTAGCGCAGCCTCTGGGAAAGCCCACGGCAAAGTACAGCTCTTGGGTCTTGCCGTCTTGGGAAGTCAAGAGTCCCCATAGCCTACACCTAACGGGGCAGCTGTTGCCAAACCTACTGCTCAGCAGACCCTGTGCTAGGCTCTGCCTTGGACTCAGTCCTTGCATGCAGGAAGATTCCTTGTATTGATGGGAACAGAAGACACATTTAGTCCCCACCCAGCGGAGACTGTGGGAGCCTGGGGTGGTGGTGGTTGTAGCAGAGAGTATGGACCTAGCTGTGTCTGGTGGCAGGTCATGAGTTCCCTGAGGAGGGGACATTTGAGTGGGGCTTTGAAGGATGAATTAGTTTGCTCAGGGGAAAGCAGGGCTTCTCAGGTGGCACAGTGGTAAAGAATCTGCCTGCCAATGCAGGAGACATAGGAGACTTGGGTTCGATCTCTGGGTCAGGAAGATCCCCTGGAGGAGGGATGGCAACCCACTCCAGTGTTCTTGCCTGGAGAATTCCAGAGCAGCCTGGTGGGTTATAGTCCACGGGGCCTTTAAAGAATAGGACGTGACTGAGTAGACACACACACACACACACACAGGGGAGAGGACGTCAATTAGCTTGTTGATTTCTCAGTGTTTCCCCCTTCCCAGCTGGATAAAATATGTCAAGAAAATATATTTAAATGACATAGCTGAGTTTGAAAGCTAAAGCTAGCAGGAACATTTCCAGGTGATAGCAACAAAGAGTTGAACTCAAAAACAGGAGTGGGAGCTGGTCCTAAAGCCAAGCGGGGGCCAGCATATGTCTTAGAAGCTTGTTACAGTATTTTTAATGTAAACATTTTTATCACAAAGACTTTCAAATATACACAAAACATAGAATAATGCAACAGGTTTCCATAGAGCTATCACCCAGATTCATCAAAGTATGACTAGTCTGGCCCAGTTTCCAGACTTGGGGGAATGCTTTACTTTGAAGATTGTGCAGAGCAGATTTGGGTTCCCGTGTTTTTAGTTGATCACCAATAAATGGGTGATTCAGTTTTGCCCAGGGCAAGCTCCCTGATTATAAGCTATATACCCAGGCCGGTGGACAGTTTTTCCATCCGTGAAAAGACATCACTTCCTTGGTCCAGCGTTTTAGCAGGGAGCTGAGTCTAGCTCATGCTTTGTACAGGCCTGGGAATCCCACCCCCTTCCACAGACAGGCTTCTGTTTTCAGGAATCCCAGCAGAAACAAATTCCAAACTGTTCCTTAGGGAAGCTGTCATGACCCAGGACCTGCACAGAACACAGGTGACAATTCCCACTGAAGAAAAACCCAAATTCAAAATGAACAGAGCATACATGGAAACCCACATTTGTGGGAGAGAATCCAGCAGCTCCAAAAATGGGGAAACCCACTCCTAAGGAATTAGAGAACAGACTCATTTGAAAGGACTTTGCATTAGGTATGTTTAACAGTCAAAGCTCTAAAGGAAGAGTAGAATTTATACGACTGGAATAGCACATTAAAAAAAAAAGTAAGGAGATGTTTAAAAGCCCTAAATTCGAAAATCTGGGGTGAAAAATATTAGTATTAAAATATAATTAGATGAGTTAACAAGTAGACTAGACCCAGTTGAAGAGAAAATAAGTGAATGAGAAGCTGGGTCTAAGGACACTGGCATAAATGCCGCTCAGGGGAGTGGGCCGTGAGAGTGAGGGCTGTGGTGTCGCTGCCTCCGGTGAGAGTTTTGTCATGGGGAGAGGCTGGGGACAGCAGGCGGGGTCTGATGGGAAGGAGCATCTGGGTTTTATCTGGAGGCAGCAGGGAGCCAGAGAAGATAGCAGAGCAGGGCTGGTCCCTGTAAGGTGTGTGCATCACGAGGGTCACGCTGGGGCTGAGTGTGGGAGCGGATGGTGGGGGAAGCTTCGAGGCAGCTCAGGGCTGGGGTTTGTGGCATCAGGAGGAAGGGCTAGGATTCGGGGGCGGAGGTGCGGGGACAGAGGAAGGGCCAGCTCAGACTGAAACCAGACGGCGGCGCCTTTGCTTTGGGACTGAGTCTCTCCCTCCCCCACTTTGCTCCCTCCCCACTTCGGCCAACCTGGCAACATCCTCCAGCTTTGGCAAAGACTCAGGTTCTGCAGGCAAAGTTGGGCAGCCCCCGTGGCTGTCCCCTCCACGGCCCTCCTGTCTGAAGGGATGCTGGAGAACCTCTCTTCCCAAGGCCTCAGTGGCCAGCCTAGGGTCTATATCCTGAGCAGAGTCTGAAAGAGGTGTAGTTCCCCTCCTTCCTGCCACAACTTTTGAGTGTGGTGGGTGTCCAGGCACTGATCGGGGGTGGGGGCTGATCTGGGTCCTCCTGGTCATCTTAGCCGGCCTGGGCCTCCATCCTCCATGTCCCATGGGCAGGCATAGCCTGACCCCTGCCGCCCCATGCCTGCCCGAGCTCCCTCCCTGCCCACAGGATGTGGAGGATGGCGAGTCTCCTTCCAATAATAATTTGGTTGGATCCGGATTTTGTAAAAATAACCCTGGTCCAGCCCGGGCTGAGGTGGGGCTGGACATGTGCTCCAAGGCCACGGTGTGGGAGCCCAGGGCACCCCCAGTGCAGACCTCACCCACTTCTGCTCCAGGACTACCTTCTCAGCAGCCCCAGGGGGTGGGGTGTGGGGACTGGTGGTGGAGGGGTTCCTGGGGCTGCCTGCCAGGGCTCAGAGCTCTCAGCGGGGGTTGCTCTGAGCTGTGGGTGCTGGCCTCCTCAGCAGGCCCACCAGCCAGCACCATGAGAGGTGGGGGGCACCTCAGGGACGCTCTCAAGCCCTGATGACTTCCTGGTGGCCCTGCGAGGAGGAGGTGGGGCTTCCTGGCAGTCCAGTGGTTAAGACTCTGCGCTTCCACTGCAGAGGATGCAGGTTCTGTCCCCAGGGACCTAGATCCCACAAGCACACGTGTGTGCATGCTCAGTCGTGTCCAACTCTTTGTGACCCTCGTGGACTGTAGCCCGCCAGGCTCGTCTGTCCATGGGTTTCTCCAGGCAAGAATCCTGGAGTGGGTTGCCCTTTCCTCCTCCAGGGCATCTTCCCGATCCAGGGGTCAAACCTGTGTCTCCTACATTGGCAGGTGGATTCTTTACCACTGTGCTATTTGGGAAGCAGGTGCTAGGAGGCAAAAAAAGAAAAAGTGAGAAGGGGGCATCGTCCATCTTGCAGAGGAAGCAGCAAGGTTCAGACCCAGCTTCTTCGGGTGAGCTAGGGGCTCTGATTCCTCCCACACCGCCGTCCCTGCCCCCTGCCCTGGCTCCCTGCCATTGTCCCATTGTCCGGGACCTGTGGGCTCAGCACATGTGAGCTGACGGAGGGCTTCCCCACACCCTGACCACAGGATGTCCTCGTGCTGGGAAAGCCATCCCTGCCGAGACCAGGGGTGGGGCAGCCACTCTGCCCAGAAAGCTCTCCTCGAATAAACAAAGACTATGGGGTTGGCGGTGGTGGGCCCAGGAAGCTTCTAGCCTGGGCTGGTCTTTATTTTCATCAGAGCTTCCTGCTGGCTGGAGAAGGCTCTGGCCCTTTTCTGGGACATGGGTCACCTGTCCACGCATTGCCTGTGCTGTTTCTTCTGCTGGGAGTTTGTTTTCCTCTGGTCCCTACCTGGTTGTGTTCAGGGTTCTCTGCTGGCCTGTGACATCCCTGAGGGCCAGGAGAGGTCCTTTCTCTTGTCTCCCCTGAGCAGAAGGGGAGGGCTGTCAAGATGGATTGAGTCTTCCCGCTGACCTTGGACTCCCCTGTCCCCAAGGGGAAGGCCCTGAGGAACAAGGGAGGTCAAGTTCAAGAGGGTTGCTGTGTCATCTTGGGCAATTTCCTCCACCTCCCAGTGGCCCCAGCTGTAAAATGGGACGGAAGGTAGAGCTCCGGTTGGGACTCAGCAGGATGAGGGTGGGGAAAGGGTGTGGCTGCTTCAACAGGAGTCCATCTGCAGTCCTGGGTGCCTCCCGCCACCCAGACAAGCATGCACAAAACCAGTGGAGAAAGTGCCAGAGGGGCTACCTTCCGGTTCCGCTGTGGACATGAGGGTAGGGTTGGACAAGGATGGCTGGATGTCTGGCTGAGTACTGACCCACCTCCTTCAGCCCCTCTGCACCCATCCAGTGGGGGCTTGTCTAATGCTGCGGATCTCCCACTGCCCACTCACTAACCACCAAACCCCATCTTAAGGGTTAGGGCCTGGTCCCCCTCCCCATCCCCATCCCCTGCTGCTCCCTCCATCACCTTCCCAGCCTGCAGCCTCATGCATCTTCCTGCTGTCCCCAACATACCCTGAACTTTCTCTGACCTTTGGAACATCAGCTGGGATCTTCTGCCTTCTCGGCCTGGCAGTCTGTAGTGTGATTTAGAGCAAGGACTTTGGAGTCAAGTTGGAGTATAAATTCTGGCTCAGCCACACACTAGCTGTGTGATATCATTGCTTTAAGCCTCTATTGTGTCTTCTGTAAGATGAAGATCATATAATCAGATTGAGAGGATTTGTGCTTATGTCCAGGGTACATCCCTGGGCCTTGCCTAGAAGACATGCTCCATAAATGATAACTGCAGTTATTATTAATGGTCAGCATTATGGCTCGTTAACCATTATACAGTCATATGATTTGTAACTGATCTTTTAGTATTCTTGATTTTAAGTGTTATCATCACCAGAGTAAACTCCTGTGCAGCCTTCAATGCCTAACTCTGGCGTCACTGCCTCCAGGAAGCCTCCCTTCACTGTCTTGGCAGAATTTAGCCCTACTTGCTGGTTCCTTGGCATTTTAACTCTTTAAGCTGGGCAACCCTCAGATGAGGTCTACTCCTTGGTCAGACAGCGCGGGAGACTCCTACTCTGAGTTTTTTTCTGCCCACTCCCCACCTTGTAGAGACAGGCATAGAGGGAATGATTCTTCCTTCTTCCCTAACATGTGGAGTCCTCAGGAGACTGCAGTCTCTTTCCTACCCTTATTCTGCTCTGATCTCAGGCAGATCCTGGGAGGCAAACCCAGCAGGAACAATTCTTTTTCTAGATACAAGGAAATAATTTCTACCTTGACTGATCTAAACAAGGGCCCATTGTTGACCAAGGTTGACCCACTCTGGGCAGGGCGTGGCATTAGGCACTTTACAAGCATTATCTCAGTAGTGCCCAGAGCAAGCCGGGAGTTGCTATTTTTATCATTTCACAGATGAGGAAGTTGGCACGCCGGAGGTGGCTTAGACTCCTGAGAGTTGATTGTTAAATTTTCAGGAATTGTGTGAGCTGGTTGTTAAGCACAGACCGTTGTTAAAAACTAAATTACATCAACTTACAATTAAACAACGTATTAAAAACAAAGGTAATAAACACTCAAGCTTCATCACTTCCTAATTATTTTACTGCCTTGTATCTATTATCTACGTTCTTTAGGTTATTTATGTCTGTTGAATCTGGACTCATATACAGCTCTGCATGACTGTGTATCTCTTCTCAATTCTGATTAGTGACATCATGTTGGGAGCTTGAAATCAGGCCACATTGGGAGTATTTGCACCATGAAAACTGGCAACACTACACATCAGGGCCCGCCTCCCCCACTTTTGGAGAGACAGTTGCTAAACATTTATCAGTAGACCACGGAATGAGGAACAGAGAGGTTGTGACCTGCCCAAGGTCACCCCGCTGGCCTGGAACAGAGCTGAATTTGAGCCTGGGCAGTGTGTCTGGAGCCCAGATTCTTGCACCTCTCCGCTGTGCTGATTCTGCAGCAGGCTTCCATCACCCAGTTGGGATTAAAAAGTACCCTCACACCCATACACACAGTCATGCTGCTCCAGCCTGCCCTTCTCCCTCCCTCTGTCTCTCCTCCTAGGGGCGCAGGCCTGTGAGAGACCAGCCAGCCCCTGTGAACATCCAACTTGGCGGTCAGAGGCCACCCTCTCTGCTCACCCGGGCTTTGTCTGGCCATCTGCCCATCAGCTGCGGGTCTGCCTTCCAGGAGGAGGAATCGGGGGCTGCCTCTCCGCATGACCTCGTGCTTACCCTGCCTTGCTGGCCTCTTCATCCCACCTGGGACCCCCAGGGCCCCTCCCATCCTGCTAGAGCCATCCCCATGGGGTCCTCTAAGACTCTGCTGCTCTCTTGTTCTGGAAGAACAAAACCAGGTCACCTCACGCCTCTGCTCAGCATCCTCTGGTGTCTTCCTCTCTCACTAGAAGCCACAGTCACCTCAGTGGGCCACAAGGTTCTACCCGATCTGGCCTTTCCTCCAGGTCCCTCTGTGTCAGCTACTCTGGTCTCTCTGTCGTTCCACAAATGCGCTAAACCCACTTCTGCCCCAGGACCTTTGCATTTGCTGTTCTCAATCTACTATCTGCATGATTCATCTCATCTCCTCCAGGTCTTCGTTGAAATGTCACCTTCTCTGACCTTTCTATTTAAAATGTTTATGCCTGTATTCTTTCTCTTTCATGCTTTTCCTATCTCCTTTTTCTGTCCTTTTCCCCTCCTTAGCACTTGTCACCACCTGACATACTATATTTTAAATTTTATTGTCTGTTTCTCACTACAGTGAAAACTTCAAGAGGCCAGGAATTTTTGTCTTTGTTGAATGGATGAAAGGATGGATGAATGAGCGAGTTATTGAATGAATGAATGAACAAAGAGATGACAATGTTTCTAATTGTTAGGAAAGCCTCTGTAGCTTACTGGGAATAGGGGTGGCTGTGTGATCAGGCCAGTATAAGACCTGGGTTTCCAGGTTCAGTTCTGCCCTCTTTTGCTGTGTGGCCTTGGGCAGGTCCCTTTCCCTCTCTGAACCTCTTTTTCAAATATAATAAGGAGAGCAGTGTGGCAAAGTATAAGGAAGACTGGCTCGAGTCAGACAGATAGGGGGGTCAAATTCCCACTGGAACATTTACTGCTGTTGGAGCTATGGGGAAGTCACTTTTCTGAGTGTGTGAGAGAGAGAAGTGAGATGGGGCATGGATCAGAAGGACACACAAGATGTGATGTGATGAACCCCCAGAACAGACCCTGGTGCATGGAAGTGTTCCATGAATAAATCTTCACTCTTTTAAAAAGTGAAAGTCACTCAGTTGTGTCTGACCCTCTGCAACACCATGGACTATACAGTCCATGGAATTCTCCAGGCCAGAATACTGGAGTGGGTAGCCGTTCCCTTCTCCAAGGATGGAACCCAGGTCTCCCACATTGCAGGCAGATTCTTTACCAGCTGAGCCACCAGGGACGCCCCAGAACATTGGAGTGGGGAGCTTAGCCCTATTCAAGTACCCGAAGGGCTCACCTTCTGCTGGGCTGAAGAAGATGCAATTACGCGGTCTCCTAACCCAATGGGGCTGTTCTGGCTCCCCTGGGCCTGGGCTCTGGCCGAGGCTGCCCCTCTTGGGTGGGGGCTGCTTCCTCAAAAGGCACTTGGTCTCTTGCTGGGTGATCTGAGCAGGTGGGCTCTGCCGTGGGACCCTCCCACCTTCTGCCCCACCCCTGAAACTCTCCTCTCCCATGCAGTTTTCATCTGCAGCTTCATGGTGGCCGCCCCCATCTTCGGCTACCTGGGTGACCGCTTCAACAGGAAAGTGATCCTCAGCTGCGGGATTTTCTTCTGGTCGGCGGTCACGTTCTCCAGCTCCTTCATCCCCCAGCAGGTGAGGCCTGCCCGGGCTTCCCACCCAACATTCCCATTCCTGTGCATCCCGTCCATGTGTCCTGGTTCCTCCAGAGGGTGGCTAGTCTGACTGACCTGTCCTAGTCTAGACTGGGGTTCCAGCCTGTTGGGTTCAAGTAGAGTGGGGTGAGGGGGTCTTTGGGTACTTCGATACACTGGCCTTGCTGATGGGCTTTCCCTGTGCTGGCCTTGAGCTGAAGGACTCGTAGCCTGGTGGGACATCTTAACTCTCCCTGAGCTGCTTCTGATTTGCAGAGAATGTGAGGAACAGGGGGAAGCAAGTCGGGCCAAGGAGTCAGGACCTTGGGTTCTAGTCTTGTCTCTGCTGTCATCTTGCTGCGAGACTCTAGATATATCGCTACCTTTCTTTGGGCCTCACACAGTTTGCTCTTTGTCCAATGACCAGCCGGCTCCCTGGATCAAAGTCCTCCAGAAATAAACATCAGTTCAACATAAGGAAGATGTTTCTGACTTGGCTCCCACAGTTCAGGGTTTGAAGATCCCAGTTCTGTGGCCCATTCAGCTTTGTGATCTGGAGAAACTTGCTTTACTTCTCTGAGCCTCAGTTTCCTCATCTTTAATAGGGGGATAACACTTCTCAGCTTGAAGGGCTGTTGTGAGAAGTAACTGACCTGGTGGATGTCCACACCCTGACACATACATGGAAGGTGTTTAACACATTTTTATTCCTGTTCTTTCTTCCAAAGAGGAGATATTTTGCTCTGATAGGTAGTGAGTGTCCCGTCACTAGGGGTGTTCAAACAGAGGGAGGACAATCACATGATGGCTATTGTGGATGGAGATAGAGGAAGAAGGGGGAAAATCAGGTCTTATCCTCAGGGAGTTTCCAGCCTAGGGGACAAAAGAGGAGATGCTGGCCTTGGGGGCATCCAGGCTGGGGGTGGGAAGATGTGACAGGAGCTCCCACATTCAGACTTTCAAGATATGCAAAGTGCTGAAAGTCCTCACTGAAGAGACAGAGCAGTCTTTGACATCTGTGTAGTCAGGGAAGACTTCCTGGAGGAGGTGGCACTTGAGCTGGGCAGGCAAGACAGGCAGGTTTGGCCTTTTGGTGAAGATGGCACGGGCTGAGGGAGCAGTCCTATGGAGGCATAAATGGTGTAGAGTGTTGACAGATCAAGGAGGAGAGTGCTTTGACAGGAGAGGAAGGCAGGAACCAGGTCATGGAGAGCCTTGACTGCCAAGTTGGGAGGCCTGAACTTCTTTCTGGGACCCTGGGAGAGAGTCTGAAGAAGGGAAGGGTGAGTTAGATTTACACTTTTTGAGAGAAGGTTGGAGGTGAGGGCAGAGAGAACTGGTAGATTTGGGGGTTCCAGCTTTGCTTCATGGGACAACTTCAAGGAGGAGGGTCAGGTCAGATAAGCTCCAGACATAGAGCATCAGGTAGAGCCCGATGGCCACAGTCAAAAATGGGGAATGGACCAGAAGAAACTCCTGCCCCCCCCCCCCCGGGTCTTGTCCTGCCCACGAGGCTGCTTCTGGGATTGACCAGTGAGTCTAGGACCATGATGTCAAGTCTGGGCACCGTTCTGGGTATGTGGAAGGAAAGGAGAGCTGGGGGGAGAAGATGAACAGAGGCGGGGGGAGAAACAGACGGGTCATCCCCAATTCACCTCTAAATTCACTTGCAGTCATGTTCTGAGTCCCATGGGGGGTTTTGGTGGACCTTGGCAATGTGATTCTGAAGTTAATTTGGCAGAGAAAATGCCCAGGAACAGCCAAGAGCATTGTGAAAATAACAGTGAAAGGGGCCTTGCCCCATTAGTTATCACAACATGGCTATTCTAACTAAAACAGCAGAGGGATAAACTAAGAGATCGAGTAAACAGAGTCCTCCTTTTCATGGGAGAATGAAAGTTACATCTCTAATAAATGGTGTTGGGAGGACTGGGTGTCCATCTGGATGGAAGATAAAGTATGGTCTGTATTTCTAACCACACTTCAAAATAAATCCCAGATAGATGAAAGTAAAGTTAAAAGCAAACTATAAAAATCAACAGGAAAAAGACAAATAGCTCAGTAAAAAAAACAGGCAAAGAATAGTGAGAGGCAATTCCTGAGGAAGATCCCCAAAGAGCAATGTATGTAGGAAGAGATGGTTCTTGGCTTCAAGAGTAATGAGGGCACTGCAAATTAAAACAACAATGAGATGCCATTTCACACCCGTCAGATTGGCAGCAATTAAAAAGGCTGACAATACCAAGTGTTATTAAAGCTGCTGGTGGGAGTGTAAATTGGGAGTGCCTCTTTGAAGAGCAAAGTGGCAGGATTTTATAAAATTCTGTGTACACCCCAGAGCCCTGCCTTCTACTTCGAAGTATATGCTGAAGAGAGAAACTCTACCTCATGGACAAAGTAACGGGTGCATGCAAGGACATCTGTCGTAGTTTTGTAATAGAAAAAAAGAGACAGGGAGAGAGAAGACAAATAGTCTAAATGATCATGACTAGGGGGATGCCCAGATAGAATGGGGTGTATTCATGCTATGAGATTCTTGGCAGCAAATGAATGAACTCCATCTACATTTACCAGCTGAAATGGGTTTCCAAAAGATGAAGGGAAAAAAAGCAAGTTGTGGGACAAGATGCAGGAAGAAAAACATGGTCATTTGATGTTTTTTTGAAAGCACACAGGGGACACTGAATGTTGTCCCCTGGTATGTGTACACACAGGCAAAGGTAGAAGTCATGACAAATGCACAAGATATCCAGTTCCGGGGGGGGAGTGAAGATCAATGGGATCCTTTGTCAAAGAGGTCTTATCTGTCTGCTCTTGTAACGGAGGAGAATAGGACATCATTCCCATTTTCTTTCTCTTTCTAAAATAAACACAAAAGATAAGAATATATATATATATATATATTTTGTTGTTGTTGTTGTTGTTCTGGGATGGACTAGCCCTTCCTGAGCAAGATGTGAAATTCAGAAACCATTAAGGGAAAATCAGCAGCTGGGACAGTATTGAATGAAATAACACAAAGCTTCTGTGTGATGAAACTCCCTGTAAAAAAGTGGAAAGAAAGATGATGGTGGAAAATATTTGTGACCTATCTAATAAATGTCGATTCCCATGATACATAAGAAGCTAACAGAAACCAATGCAAGACAAAGAATCCAACAGAATCCAGCAGAAAACTAGGCAAAGGCTGTGGGCAGCTGATTCCCAGGGAAAGCAGCACAGGCAGGGGGCCAGGGGAAGGAAGATGGAGAGTGAAAGGGTGAAGGAACTATGGAAACGAGAGGCACAGAGATGGGTGGGCAGGACCAGCGATGCGGAGAGAGGGCTGGGAAAGCGATGGAGATGGAGAGCAGGAAACGGAGACCCGGAGGAGGGCTGGATGTGGGCGATGCTGGGCCGGATGGGTGGGCAGGGTGGGGCCGGGGGAAAATGACCAGGCTTGGTTCTCAGGCCCTGGGCAGCTGAGGGGATGGAGGGGCCGGGTCCACATCAAAGCGGGTAGGACCACTGGCAGCTGGCACGGCCCCACCCTTCCCGGCTCAGCTGGGCTCTGCTCTTTGATGTGTGGTGGGGGAGGGGTGCCAAGCCCACTGGGCTCACCCTGCCCGCTCCCGGTGTACACTGGGTCCCCAGTGCCGCCAGGTCAGCCCAGCGGCCCTGGCGGGGGGTGGGACTCAGAGTGGGGCTGGCTTGAGGCTCCCGCAGTGGGGGTCAGAACCCAGGGAGGAAGGCTCCTAATCGGTGGGGCTGGCAGTGGAGACACAGGCTGCCGCTCCTGCCACACCTACAGCTCTCAGCCCATGAAGGTCCAGCTCCATCCCAGTCCTGGGCCCAGTCCGACCCACTGTTCAGAGGCGGAAACTAAGACGAAGTGGCCCGGGGTGTAGTTGTTGCTCAGGCCGTGGTTGGGCTCCATCCTGGCTCCGGGGCCCCGCAGGGGGTGGGGAGCAAAGCGGGGACCAAGGATGAGCAGGCAGAGGAGCAGGACGGCCCCCCGGCAGCCTGCGCCCCTCTCCCACAGCACTTCTGGCTGCTGGTCCTCTCCCGCGGGCTGGTGGGCATCGGCGAGGCCAGCTACTCCACCATCGCGCCCACCATCATCGGCGACCTCTTCACCAAGAACACGCGCACGCTCATGCTGTCTGTCTTCTACTTCGCCATCCCGCTGGGCAGGTGAGGGATCCGGGCAGGGTCCCCTTGGATTTCTGACCATCCGCTCTCCTTGACGTCCGGCTCTCTGTGACCCAAACATGAGGGCGCCCAGCTCCCTGGCTGGCTGAGGGGGTGTTGGGGTGGGGCAGGGCTGGTGGCCTCCTAGACTGGTGAGCATCCCCTGACCCCCACACCCCTGCCCGTCCCTGCCTGACTGCACTGTTTTCTCTGCAGCGGTCTGGGCTATATCACCGGCTCCAGCGTGAAGCAGGCAGCCGGAGACTGGCACTGGGCCTTGCGGGTAAGGACACCTCCCCCAGACCAGCTCTTGCCCAGGGTCACCCAGAGATTCGGGGACAGAGCCCAGGCCTGACCCCCTAGCTTCCTACCTCGCGGACCTGAGCTCTTCTCCATGAGCCCACTTTGAGGTGTCAGGGAGCCAGACTTGTCCCCGCCACCCTCAGGGGCCGCAGTCTGTGAGGACGAAGGAAATTCCAGGTTCATGGTGGCATTTCCTGGTTCAACCAGGGGGGTGGGGGGGCACTATGCCAGGGTGGGACTGAGACACCCGTGTGGGGCCGCTTCCTGTCCTGCAGGAGGATTCAGCACAAGTGTGCCAAGGCCCCAGGACGGTGCAATCAGAGGAAACAGAGATCCCCAGTCTCGCGAAGGAGAGGAAGCTTAAGACAAAGTGTTTTTTCCTCAAAAGCAGGAAGGAAGCAGCCTCCGTGGAATTTTTTGATGGGGGGGTGGGGGGAGACGGCAAATGGAGAGGAACTTCCCAGCCCACGGGCTCCCAGGCCTGGTGGGGGTGGGTACAGATTTCCCTGTTCTCATGAGCCGGTGGAGGAGCTGGTGGATTGGAATCCAGGCTTCCAAGATGTGCTCCTTCCATCTGGAGAGAGGCCTGGGGCCTTAGAGATTCTGTTCTTGACACTGGGCAGGATGCAAGGAAGACCTAGAGGGGCCCCCGAGCCTCTGTTCTCCTGGGACCCCCATGCTGCTGTGGCTGCTTAGTCACTTCAGTTGTGTCCAACTTGTTGTGTGGACCAGTTGTGTCCAGTTGTGTGACCCTGAGGACTGCAGCCTGCACCTCTGTCCATGGGATTCTCTAGGCAAGAGTACTAGAGTGGCTTGGCATGCCTCCTCCAGGGGATCTTCCCAACCCAGGGATCAAACTCAGGTTGCCTGCATTGCAGGCAAATTCTTTACTGCTGAGCCACCCACATGGGCCCCTTCCAAATGGTCACCTACTTGATATATTAGCTGGAAGTTTCATGCCCAGCCAGTCCCTTCTCAGTGCCCACCCTCCCCAGGGAGAGGAGCTGGCCTGAGAAACTTTCCCAGACCCAGGGAGGTGGGTAAGAGCTGGTATCTGGCCCCTGACCCCAGGAACTCTCCTGGTTCTCATCCACCCACCTACCTGTCTTCCTTTTGTTCCATCCATCACCCATCCATTTATCCATCCTCCTGTGTTACCATGTGTTAATTCATCCACCCAGCAATCCATCCATCTGAGCATTCATCCATCTGTCTGTCTCTCTATTTAGCAATCTATCCTCCTTCCTTCCTCCATTCTGACCATCCCTCCCTTCTTCCCTTTCACTTTCAGTCCCCTCTCCCATCCTACCCCTAGTCTGGACAGCCCATTTGGAGCCCACCAGCCCTTTGTGCTGGCATCACCCCCACTGGCTTTGCTCGATCTGGAAGACTGGGCAGATATGAGCCCAGAGGAGGAGCCCGGGGCCCAGAGAAGTCATGGCTGGCCTGGTACCCCTTCCCAGTGCCAAAGAGAGACAAAGACTCTGGGGCCCTGGTGTCCTAACTTGGTGCACCCTGCCCCGCCAGGTGTCCCCCATCCTGGGCATGATCACAGGAACGCTCATCCTTGTCCTGGTCCCGGCCACGAAGAGGGGCCACGCCGACCAGCTTGGGGGGCAGCTCAAGGCACGGACGTCATGGCTCCGGGACATGAAGGCCCTGATCCGCAAGTGAGTGCTGCTGGGAGGGGTCCAGTGGGAAGAGGGAGGGGTTCCGAGATGAGAAGACATTCCCCCCTCGCCTGCTTGGCCAGACTCCCTGGAATCTCCACTGTTGACAGTGCTGAGACCATTAGTGTTTATGATTCCTGAAGCCAGAGCCCTCAGCCCCGGAGCCTGCAGGGAAGGTGTCTGAGGCCTTCTGCCCTTGGGGGGAGGGTGTGAGGGCGGAAAGCCTGCCTCCTGGGCCCTGCCAGCTGCAGGGGTGCCAGCCCCCCCTGCTCAGTGTCGCTGCCCTGGCCTCTCTCCAGCCGCAGCTACGTCTTCTCCTCCCTGGCCACGTCGGCCGTGTCCTTCGCCACAGGGGCCCTCGGCATGTGGATTCCGCTCTACCTGCACCGTGCCCAAGTCGTGCAGAAGACGGCAGAGACCTGCAGCAGCCCGCCCTGTGGGGCCAAGGACAGGTGGGGCCAGGCCCGGGGGTCAGTGCCAGGGGGCAGGCGGGGGGTGGGTGGTGAGGGATGCGGTCAGCCCCCGTACCCCAGCTCTGCCCCCTTAACCTGCGCCCCACTGTCTTCTGTCTCTGCAGCCTCATCTTTGGGGCCATCACCTGCTTCACGGGTTTTCTGGGTGTGGTCACGGGGGCAGGAGCCACGCGCTGGTGCCGCCTGCGGACCCAGAGGGCTGACCCACTGGTGTGCGCTGTGGGCATGCTGGGCTCTGCCATCTTCATCTGCCTCATCTTTGTGGCCGCCAAGAGCAGCATCGTGGGGGCCTATGTGAGTGTTGGGGGTGGGTGCAGGGGCTCTGGAACAGGAAATGTGGGGGTAGGAGGTGCCCCCCACCCCCGCCAACTGGATGCTCCAGTCTTCTGTCCCTGCTCTGACAAGGGCTCTGGGTGCCCTTCAGGGCTGTGAGCCTGGCTTGAAGCCTGTAGATTATCCACAGATTTCCCAGGAGCCTGACTTCAGGAGTTGAGGGGGAGGCTTGTGGGGGGCTGCCTGCCAGCAGCCAGGGTGCAGGGAGCAGCCTGGGACCGATGGTGGGTAGAGTGCCCCCTGATGGTTGTTCTGGTCTTCTCCCAACCCCGGACAGATCTGCATCTTCGTAGGGGAGACGCTGCTGTTTTCTAACTGGGCCATCACCGCGGACATCCTCATGGTGAGGCAGGCCATGGCTGACCGCTCAGGGCAGCTGGGTAGGGCGGGTGAAGGGGTGGGAGAGCTTGCAGGACTTGTGAAGGGAGACAGTGGGGATTTTGGGGGGTCTGCATTGGGTCAGGGCCTGGAATCAGAGGGTTGAGCAGGCAGAAGGGAGGGAATGTGGGGACTGGGTGCAGAAGGGTAATGTCTGCAGGCCTAGGTTTGTGGCCGGGAGGCTGGCAGTGCCAGGCTGGCACCAGCGTGGTGCTGTCTGCCCGTGCTCCGCCCCCAGGGTCTGAGCTCCTGTGGACTCAGACCTCCGGGTCCCGGGCGCGCCTGCCCGATGCCTGCGGCTGGGCTGGGTGGACAGAGGCTGTCTTCACAGGGCCAACAATGGGCTCCAGACCAGCCAGCCAGGGACAAAGGGCTGTCTGAGTGGTGGCAGGGATTTGTGTCCTTGGGCAGGGACAGGAGCAGTCTAGGATGGACCCGGAGGGGCCTGTGGCCTTGATAACAGGCAGCAGTCTGGGGGTGGTGGTTGGAAATGGGGTGACAAGTGGTCCTGACCTCAGAGATCCTCCAAGTCGGGGCCAGGAGAGGGTTGGGAGGAGGATATGCGGGGGACTGGTGGTGGGGAGTGTCTGGGAGGTGCTGGGGGTGGGACCCTGGGGGGAAGGGAGGAGGAAGGACTCCTTCGGGCCACCTTCAGGGCACTTGGGGTTTGCTGTCAGAGTACGGGTCAGCCTAGGAGGTCAGATTCTGCCTGGGTGTCGGGCCCCTGCCATCTCTCCTCCTCCAGGAAGCCTGCCTTGCCTCACCCGAGCTTCCCTGCAAATCTGCTTCACCCAGGGTTGTCTCCCCTGGCTAACCCCAGCCCATGGCTAGAAGAGTGGGAGGTCTGACTCAGCTCTGCACCTCAGCATGGTGCCAGGCACCCTACCTACCATGGCAGGGGTAGGGCGGGGTCACTGCACGCGTGGGAGTGACCGTTGGAGTGAGACTGAATTAAGTGCCCTTGGAGGTAGGCAGGACCCCTGCTCTGCCTCTACCCCCAGGGGCAGCCCCAGCTGCTGACAGGGTTTGGGTCCCAGGGAAATTGTGTTCCATTTTATTAAGTGTCACAGCTAAGTGACTAATTATTCCTGGAAACGGGGCCATGCAATCGAGGTCTCCCCTCCCCCCGCCCCTAGCAACTGGGTGCCTGGTGGGCACTAGCTGCTGTCATAATCTGTCCACAAAGGGTGGGGTTCTGGGGCAGGGGGCTGCCCAGGGCACCCTCTGCTCCTCTGCCACCAGCCCTTCTGTCTGGCCTTGGCCCACCCAGCTTTAGAGCTGTGGCCCCCTTGTGGGTCAGGACCTGCTTGGTCTAGGCGGGAAGGTGGATTTTGGGGGCCCAGGGGCTCTCGCAGTCGGTGCTGGGGGTGAAAGTGGAGGTTCTTCCAGGCAGGGTCCTCTTCACCAGCATCGCCCATCTCAGCCGGCCTGGGCCTCGGCAGGGCAGTCAGGATGGGTCTTTCTCCTGCGGGGGAGGTGAGGGCAAGCCTGAGGCCGGGGTTCTGGTCCCAGGGCGGCCGTGGGCCGTCTCTGTGCCTCTGGGCCTCGGTTTGCCCATGACCGGTGCGCTTGGCTCCCTGGCAAGGGCCAAGTGCAGGTGCTCAGGCAGTGTGGACTCAGGAGCTGGGGGAGGGGGTGGGGAAGAGAGGAGGGCCCAGGAGAGCAGTGTGTGAGGACCCTGGGGCAGGGCTGCGTGGGAGGCCATGGGAGCTGCAGAAGTGTCGGCCCCCTGGGGAGAGGCCAGGTGGCTGCACCTGGGCTCTCCTGGCCTCTGACCTGCCACCTCTTGCACAGTATGTGGTCATCCCCACCAGGCGGGCTACTGCCGTGGCCCTGCAGAGCTTCACCTCCCACCTACTGGGGGATGCCGGAAGCCCCTACCTCATTGGCTTTGTGAGTACCAGGGACTGGAGGGGCAGGGATGGGTGGTTCGGGGGGCTTCAGGAGGAGGCCCCATCCTGACATCCACTGGCTCCTCCACCCCCCAGATCTCTGACCTGATCCGCCAGAGCACCAAGGACTCCCCGCTCTGGGAGTTTCTGAGCCTGGGCTATGCCCTCATGCTGTGCCCCTTCGTCGTGGTCCTGGGTGGCATGTTCTTCCTGGCCACCGCGCTCTTCTTCCTCAGCGACCGTGCCAAGGCTGAGCAGCAGTGAGTTGGCGGCGTGGGTGGGGGTGGGCCTGCTGCGGCTGTGACAGGGTGAAGTGGGTGGGTTCACCTGGCCAATGAGGTCCCCGCCTCCAAGAGGTGCGGCCTGCATCACTAGTGGGAGCCCACGGTGGCCCTGGGGTTTGTGTGGTGGGTCTAGACAGTGTTTCTCTGGAATGAATGGTTTTCAGGGCTGGGGCTCTGCCCCTTCGTTTTCCTCTCACCGTCTGACTTCTTTCTCCTCTCCTCTTTACTCCCCTCTCTCTCTCTCCCCTCTCCCCACTCCTGGGCTCTCCCACCTCCCCCTGGGGCTGACGAGGTCCCTGCCCAGCACGTCCGGCCCGCCGGCCCCCGCGATGCGATGCTCCAGAGCAGTGCCCGGGCCCGGCCCCCGCTGATGTGCCACCTTGACCCCCGCCCGTCTCTCCCCCAGGGTGAACCAGCTGGTGATGCCTCCCGCATCCGTGAAAGTCTGAGGCAGTGAGTGTGGGTTGGGTGGGTGGTGGGGCGCTTCTTGTGGGAGGGAAGGGGTGGGGATCTCGGAGTGGGGAGCTAGTTGTGCAGAGGGAAATTCTAGACTCCCTGTGAGTGGCCTCCTGCCTGAGCACATCCCAGCCCTGGGACTGGTCCTCTTCCTCCAGTAATGTTGCCTGGATTGACCGGTAGACCCACGGGATGGGGGGCGGACAGGCTCCCTCTTCCAGTAAATCAGCTCCCCCTTCCTTCCTCAGAAGGGCTGGGGGGCACAGGTCAGGGTGGGGACTGGCCAGGAACTCCCTGCTGTTCCGGGTTCCATCCTCCCAAATCCTCCTGGAGGTGCCAGAGCCTGACTCCTACTTGGACCTTCCTCTGGGCCTGGCCTCCGGGGGCCTTAGCTTCCCAGCAGAGGAAAGTCCAAGGTCACTGCCCCCACGCCTTAGCCGTGGCAGATCTGCTGTCCCTGCCAGTGGGGCCCAGAGGGAGGATCCGGAGGGGAGTCCTGGACTGGGCGTTGCACCTGACCTCTGACCCCCTCCCTCCAGGTGCCGCTGGGATAATGAAGGACCCCGCCTCCCGCCTGGTCTGGGAGGCGTCCCCCGGCACCCTGGCCCTGCAGGGCTGTCCCGAAGCTTTCCTTGTGGCCCACAGCGGGGCACCCACCAGCTCTGGTCTGGGACTGCTGGGTGGCAGTGGCCCCAAGAAGCTGTGTCCTCAACTAACCTGGAAGGCTGTGTGTGCTGGAGCCACGCCCTGGGACAGGCCGCCCCCAGGCCCCGGTCCGGGCCACAGGGGCCCTGGGGTCCCGGAAGGAGACAGCCCCCCATGGGTGTGTGGGGAGAGGTTGGCCTGTCCCCAGCTTATGTGATCCTGGGGCAGTCTCTGCCCTCCCCAGACCCTGGGGTCAGGGGACTGGACTTTCCCATACAGCTTGCTGGGCAAGGTGCTGGCTGCAGCTTTGAAGACCCAACAGCCCCTGGACCACACGGACAGGAGGGGGTCCAGGCCTCAGGGCGGCACTTCTGGCTCCCCAAGGGCCGGATCCATGAGGACCTCTGACCTTGAGGACATTGGACTCAACCTGGCAAGAGCCGGGCACCCAAGCTGCTGGCGCTTCCCAGCCCGGCTGGTCACTCTGGAGGGCACTGGGGCTGGTCCCAGGTGGGGGACCAGGCTGACAGGGAGCTGGCGTCACCAGGAGTGAAGGCCCTGGTGGCGCAACGCACCACCTGTGCCCCGTGCTTGAGACCTTTGGGGCTTCCCCGCCCCTACAGGGCTCCTTGGGTCCACTGAAGCACCCCCACTGTCCATCCCCTGCCTGACCATCCCCACAGAAGCCAGGAACTGATTCCTGCCCCCAGGCTGGGCCCCTCCCAGGGGCAGCGCCCAGGGGAGTATTCCCAGAATCCGTGGGGCAGTAGCCAGGGCTCTGGCTGCCAGAGGAAGCAGCCATCCTCCAAGCTTCCTGTCCCTGGGGAGAGCCTGGTGGAGGCTGAGGCGCATTGGGAGAGGCCAGCACTCAAAAGAGTCACCTCCCTGCGCATGTCAGCCACTCAGTTCACACGTTTCCATGTGGCCCAGACTCCCCCCGCCCCGCCACCAGGGTACAGCTGCCAACTTCACATCAGAACCCCCCCCCCCCC